AAAGCATGTTATGAACTTGTATGACATGGTGCATGTAGTATCTTCAGCCTGAAGGCATATTAGGGACGCTGTGTATGTGTATGTGCATATATTGTGTGCTTCCTCACACATACGATTTCCCATCAGCAAGAGTAGCTTCGCTTTGGGTTCTTCGTAGCCATTTATGATGTATTTTGAATTGTGGCATTCTGACTTTTTAACACCTCCTTCGTTCTCCTCAGTGGGTACATTTATAGGTGACGGTAATATGAGATGTGTATTTTCATTAGGAATATAACAAATTTTATTTTCATTATCCATTTATAGATCTATTTTGTCATTCATTTAATTAAAAAATGTACAAAAATAGTTGTAAAAGATGTCTCAAGGTGACATTTTAAAAAAACAAAAAAAACATGTCATGTCCAGTTAACTATCCCAAACTCTATGGCAGCTAAAAAGAGCAACAAATCATCACATTTGAGAACCACCAAATCAGTCACTTATCAATTCACAAAAAAAATTTCCCAAACATTGGTGAACATCTCCATGGAAACAGAAGCATTCATGTTAAATGATGCTTAGACCTACAGTATCATTAGGCCCTGTGGTGGGTATCAGGCTGTGCTGTCATAAATCTACTGGGCTCCATGACAGGCAACACCTTTCTCTAGCCCTCACCTAATGTATGTTTGAACTGCCCTTAAGTCCCGCCCTAACATTTAAATTGTCGTTACCCTCACCCAAGCAAAAAGCAGATACTCAGTGGCGTGGTTGTTTTGCATGGCACAGCCACACTGGCTGGTCTACCTGGCTTAATAGACGATTTTATCTGAATGCCATTGCCCACTCAGTACTCCAGCTGTCATCCCTGCTTATCTAGCTCCGCTAGTGTTACAAATAGTTATTAGTTATATCCAAAAATGGTTCCACTTTATATCGCCATCTAACCCACTTTGTTTGGAGGCAAAACCCAGTGTGAGTGCACACAAATACAGTGATGGTGGCTGGACTAATGGCGCTCAGATGAAGCTGCCTATCAAGCCACTGTAGTTTAACCTGTGCAGATGTAATGTAGATTTAAGGCTGGGTCAAGACACATAGTATTTGCTCTTTCCTCAAGTGAAGGAAGCATTTAAGGACAGTTTATATTAAGTTACAATTAACTAGTTGCTTATTAGCATGCATATGAGTACCATATTAGCACTTATTAATGCCTCATTCTGCATTACCTTATTCTACAACTACTAGGCCATTATCAGAGTTTTTCTTCAATGACCTAATTATTGCTTATTGATACTGAGCAAGGAAGTTGTTGTACATGAATTACAATCTGAATATGCTTTATGGGCCTTATAAGGTGGTAGTATCACAAGAATAGTCATTCTCCCCTAATAATGCTTAATAAATATGGTCTATTCTCATGTAACAGAACACAAAATGACAGTGTTAATACTGTGTGAATAACTCTAAATGAAGTCTTTGCAACTCAGAGTATGTTACTCATTTTACAGTTCGGTCTTGCTCATAACTAATTCATGATCAGTTTAAAACTTATTAACCCACTCGTGTTCCCTTTTTTCAAGTTGCCTCCTCTTCACACTTGATAAATCCATTAGTTGAGTAGTTGAGCACACAACTATGTACTGCAATTAATATCTACTTTATTGATAGACCAATTAGGGTATTTTTGAACATTTCTATTAAAAATGTACTGCCTTATTAGTTAAGAATAGGGTCTTTTAATTGCAGTAGTTGTGTGATATAATGGATTCATTAGGTGTGGAGAGGAGGCAACTTTAGAAAAGAGGGAACATGTGTGGGTTAATAAATTTCAAAATTAAAGTGAATTAATTATGAGCAAGACTGAACTTCAGATTGAGAAACATACTCTGAGTTACAAAGACTTTATTTAGAGTTATTGGGACACTATTAATCTTTGTAGTTTTGTGTTTTATTACATAAGAATAGACCATATTTATTGAGCGTTATTAGCAGAGAATGACTGTTGTTGTGATACTACCACCTTATAAGGCCCATAAAGCATATTAAGATTGCAGTTCATGACCAACAACTTCCTTACTCAGTATCAATAAGCAGCAATTAAGAGGTCATTGAAGAAAAACTGTTAATGGCCTAGTAGATGTAGAATATAGTCATGCAGAATGAGGTATTAATAAGTGCTAATATGCTACTAATGTGCATGCTAATGAGCAGTTCATTGACGCTTAATATAAAGTGTCAGCCAGAAAACTTTTAACAGCATTCTCTGATCTAATGCACATTAAAGCTGACCTTAAATCCTTCCCTCGCATTAGGAAAGAGCAGATACAATGTGTTCTGACCCAACTTTATATCTACATTTTATTTAAAGATAGGCAGCTTCATCTGAGTGCTTTATGTCCAGCCACCATCACTGTATTTGTGTCCACTCCTGCTCGGTTTTGCCTCCAAACAAAGTAATATGGATGCTAATAAGCAACTAGTATGAATGAATATGTGTATGTTAATATAAAGTGCTGCTGTTTTTGGATATAACTAATAACTATTTGTAACACTAGTGGAGCTAGATAAGCAGGGATGACAGCTGGAGTATTGAGTGGGCAATGGCATTCAGATGAAACTGTTTATCAAACCAGGTGGGCCAGCCAGTGTAGCTTTGCCTTGCAAATTACAGCCAAGCCACTGAGTATGTGCTCTTTGCTTGGGTAAGGATAACGGCAATTTAAATGCACATTAGGTGAGGGCTGGAGAAAGGTGCCGCCTGTCACAGGGCCAGTAGATGACGGCTCAGCCTGATATGCATTGCAGGGCGTAATGATACTGTAGAGACAATATGCCGCTAATATGCATGTTAATAAGCAACTAGTTAATTATACCTTAGTATAAAGTGTTACGTAGAAAAATTCTAACACCATTCTCTGATCTAATGCGTATTTAAACTGACCTTAAATGCTTCCCTCACTCGAGGAAAGAGCAGGTATAATGTGCCTGGACTCAACCTTATATCTACATAATATATGCAGAGGATAAAGTGGCTTGATGGGCAGCTTCATCTGAGTACCATTAGTCCTCCAAACAAAGTGGTCTAGATAATTTGAGTGAACTATTTTGTTTTGCAACTTGTCTGCTTGGATATTCTCACTGCATCTTTGAAGAGTACAACCAGTAATAAGCAAAACCTCAAAAATATGACCCATATCATTGTAATACGCTGGAATTATCCTTCAAACAGGTGGTTGACTGATTAATTGTTAAATCGATTGTTTTAGCACTGATTCGTCTGTGACTGTCAGTTGTTCATTGCATGTGTGTGGGAGGGAGTGGGTGGGTGTGGGAGCATGTTAATATCTGTGCTTGTGTGTCGGTGTTATCTGGGTAAAACTGAAGATGTGCCTGTTGCCACACAGAGGAAAGATTTTTGTCTTCTTTTTTTTCCCTTTCGAAACCCGAGTAAAGTATAAAGCCACACACACCTACAGTCAGATACGCACACACGCAGATAGAGAGAGAGAGAGAGAGAGAGAGAGAGAGAGATGGAAACAGTGAGATAGATCTTTTTGAAGTACAATTTCATCCTCTCTCCTTCCCACTTTTCTCTTTTTGTAGCAGTGAAGGGAGGGGAGTTAAATCTCTGCGGGGCCTGCTTTATGTGTGTGATGGTCTGAGCTGTGAGCTTTTTGTTAAACTGAGGGACAACACTGGAGGCACAATATAGGTTTACACACACACACCTACACACACATGACGATGGAGTTGGAGGTGGTGGGGGGCAGAGAGACAGGAGCTGACAGCTGATTCTCCATGTTTGTTTATGAGGGCTTTGATGTTTAATGTGTCACGTTCTTTGATGCCCTCTGCGGAGGGGATGTCAGAGTGTGTGTGTGTGTGTGTGTGTGTGTGTGTGTGTGAGTGAGTGTGAGAGAGAGAAAGAGGGACTTTGTGGGGAGGTTTGATGTTTGCGTCTCTCTTAGTTTTTCCTCCCAAGTCTCTCACTCTTTTTCCACCTCTCTCTGCAGCGGTTCACTCACAAGACTGAAACATTTTTCTCCTTCTCATTCTCCCCTTCAGCCTTTTCTTTCTCTCCCCTGTCTACTCCTCCTCTCCCCCTCTCTGGTGGATGGGCTGTGTCGCTGTCTATTTGTTGTGTCCCCAGGGGGAAAACTCAGCTTACACTTTATGCAAACATACATTCTGCAATCATTAGCAACTTATTTCACACTCACTTTGGGTTTCATTCTGTTTAATAGCTGCTTTGGTTTTGGTAATGCTAGCTGCTGCCTCTGACTCTCGCACTGACCCTTGTTTCCCTCCGACGCTGAGACTAAATGATTTAACTGTACATGGCATTGTGAATTAATGCTGGAAAATTTGGAGCCACAGTCTATAGAGGATATCCTCTGACTTCAAATGAGACTGCTAGAAAATGACACCATATCTTTTACAGTTAGTGCACCACAGAAAAATTATGTTCAGCGTTAATGACTCTGATTTTTTTTCCCTTTGTGTTACATTTTAAACATTAAGCCAGTTTAATAATACAGCACCGCACAAAATAAGCAAGCAGGTTGAGCATCGGTATTTGGCTCAATTAGGTTTTGAGACAATGCACGGCTGTTGTTTTATTGGCTACTGAGGGTCGAAGTGAATCAAACCTGTGAGTTATGAGGCAGTTATCTTCGACCATTACAGCCCCCCTGTTGCCAGCAGTCACTCTCTCGCAGTGTAGTCTGACTTGTTGACTGAATCTCTCAGCATCTCTTCCTCTCTTCCCCATTTTCTCTCCTAACGCTTACGCTCCCTCTTATCTCCGTCACTCTCCGGGTCTGACTCACTGATTGCAAAATTGAAAATGGTTTTAATTCTACCGGGTTTTTGAGTCTGATTTGCACTCACTCACTCACTCACTCACTCACACACTCACTCCAGCTCCTTTTTTTCTTCTTTCTTCTCTGCAATTAATTCAGTTCCTCAGACAAATCTGCTGACTGTCTCTGCTGCTGGCCTGTGTGTCGTTGCAGGATGAGAAGTCCACGTTCTTCCAGTTCGGCGCGGCTCTGCAGCAGGAGGCTCTGCTCATGCTTGCCATCATGGAGGAGTATGACTGGCATGTTTTTTCTATCGTCACTTCCAAGTTCCCCGGGTACCAGGATTTCATCAGCACACTGAAGACAACTGTGGATCACAGGTAATGAATACACTCCCCCACATGTGCACACATTCACACACTCTCTGTTTCCATCCTTAACCTGTATTTACAGCAGCTGACAAGATTAAGTACCTTGTATTATTTAATGGTGTATTGTTACAGCTTTGTGCGCTGGGACCTGCAGAGTGTGGTGACTCTAGATGCTGTAGATGGCGACCCAAACTCTAAATCACACATTGCCCTCAAGAGAATCCAGAGTCCCGTTATACTGCTGTACTGCTCCAAGGATGAGGCTCTGTGAGTGTCTCTCACTTTCTTTTGTTTCCGTCTCTCTGTCATACACTGCCAGATTTTCACAGTGGATCTTTATTAACTCTCTCACTCCGCTCCTCGACAGGTATATACTCGAAGAGGCTCGATCCTTGGGCCTGATAGGAGCTGGTTACATTTGGATTGTGTCCAGTCTCACCACTGGGAACCCAGACTTTACCCCCGAGGTAGGGAGGCCCCATATGTAGTAACAGGTGGCCACTTTTGAGTGGTTTGACAAGACGAGTAGTGTTTTTGATTTCAGGCTGTTGCAGGTCATCTGCTTCCTGTCTTGTATCAACCTCATCTCTTTTATCCTGTAGGGCTAAAATGACATATAGCAGTAAAGGCATACTGAAACTCTGAATGAAGCAAGATCCACCTACCAGCATCTCTAAAACTCACTTATTAATTATATCTTGTTAATTTAATTAGTACTAAAACCAGAGTGTAAAAGAGACAATTATTGTTTTGATCCAGACTATTTCGCAGTTTCCAGTTAACCAGCTTAGACTCCAGGTAGTTACTGCTCCTCCCCAGGAAATTGTCCGACTCATAACCACCTGTTTTTACACTTAGTTTCACACATGGCTGTTAGCAGAACTCATCCAGGAGCACATATCTGTAATATTAGTTGTTCAAAACACTCTATTTCCATTGTCCAGTGTGCTCTCTGTTATTATAATCCATCGTTTTCCTTCATTTGTGAATTTACTGGTGCTCTTTTGATCATCTCGTTTTGACCTGCAGTGGCAACCAACTGGACAATTGGTGCCACACACTGCTTATCTTAATGAACCAACCCCCAATATTTGTATAACAGTGGAGGATGGAAAAGCACATGCATTTTCTTTTGCTGATTTTTTGGGGGAAAATTTGGTTAAAATTTGAACCACATTTTGATAAAAACCCAACTATATTTAACAGACTAATATGAGAGTTGTGTCAACCTCTTCATTTAGCCAGGAAAGTAATAAGCAAGTGTCAAATTATTCCTTTAAGCCATACGCAGAGGACAGTAAAAAGACAAATCATTATAACTGGTAACCTATAATTCAAACCATATTTTTAGTTTACTGCTTTGTTTACATTCTTCTCGCTTTACCTGAAAACATTTGCTCAGCCCCTAAATAGGATGTTTGACAGCATTACATACACATTCACTCTCAAAATGTAGGACAGCAAGATAGCTATTATCCAAATAGGATATAAATATTTGTGTATAAATAATTCAAACTATAATCAGCTCAAATGTTCCCCTCACATTAAAACTGGAAACATATCCAATGTTTGCTTACCTTTTCTCTAAAGCCTCTCAAAGATTTATTCTCCTCCCTTCCTTGTCCATCATTCTCACTTCCCTATTTGTGTTGGGTTTTTATGCTTCTGTTTTTTGCCTCAGACAAAGATCTGATTCAACATTTAGTGCCAAATTAAAAAGTAAAAACAAAGTATCGTATGTTAGATTGACAGCCTAGCGTGCTGGCATTTTTTGATGTTTGCTCAGCCTAGTTTAGGGAGACATACTTTGTAAGCTATTTAGTTTTTCAATCCTTTCATTCTGACAGTTTCAAGATGTAGGTGATACCTGAATGAGCAATTTCGTTTGTGGACACACAGTCTGCTCACACTTATTTAATAGCCAGATATGAATTATTTCAGGAAGGTGCACGAAACCAATAAATCATCTGCTTGACACCTTTGAGAGATACATATGGATGGTTAAAATTGGGGCAAAAAAAAAAAAGAAGTCAAAATGAAGTCAAATTGAATCTTTCACACCATATGTACCACTTCTCAGATCTCCTCTCCTTTGCTCTCAGATGTTCCCTCTGGGTATGATCTCCGTGTCCTATGACGACTGGGAGTACCCACTAGACACGAGGGTGAGGGATGGGGTGGGCATCATTTCCTCTGCAGCCACCTCCATGCTGCGGGAGAAGGGGGAGCTGCCAGAGGCCCAGAGCAGCTGCTACAGCACAGCGTCAGACAGGAGCCCGGGGAAGCTCCCACCCAGCGCCCTGCGCAGGTGTGTATATGTGTGTGCATGTGTGAGAGTGTGAGGAGAGATCAAGGTCTAGGGACTTGCATAACTCTGTTTGTCTTTGTAGCTGAGTGGCTGAGCGGTGTTACATAAGTCTTTTTAATGTACTAATGAGAGGGGTAGAAAGGAGAAAGGAAGCAGAGATGACAGGAGTGTTAAACACTGTGATGTCTAATGACATTTAACACTATTAGCTATTGTGTACATGGCTGCTCGGTGTATGAGCTCATTCTGCTGCCTTAGTGGAGAGACAATGCACTGAACTTCAGGCAGACCTCTGTGTTGTTGCTGCCCTGTGTTAACTGGTGCCTGGAATGTGTCTGGTGTGTTTGTATTCATGTGTATTTCTGTGTGTGCACCTTATTTCACATGACTGGATTCACTGTCATTAAGTCAGGATTAAAGCAGCTTTTACTAGCTTTGTTCTCTCTCTCTCTTTTTCTTGTTACGTGGCTCTGTGGGTGGCATGTATGCGTTGGTAGGTGTATGTGTGTGTGTGCATGCACATATGCATACCAGTATGTGTGTATGTACTCTTCTCTGAAGTCTCTGTGATGAGCAAACAGTCAAATCCTTTATACAAGAAGGGGGGACAAATGGGTGAACATGCAGGCACATTCATACTGAACATCCACAGCTATTGAAGCACAGACACAGAGTCTGAGATGGCATTGCTTCCTTTTGAGGTTTTTATGCTGCGATATTGTGATACATCTTGAATATGAGGCATTCAGTGGTTAAAATATGATTATTAATTCAGAAATTTTATATAAAAGTGACTGAATACATGAAGGTCAGGTTGCTAGGCTCTGCACTTCTATGATGACTTATGAGTTGCCTCATTAGAAAGAGAGCCACAGTATGATTTTCACCATTATGGCTTTATTATCCCATCTCTCTCTCTCTTATTAGCCCATTACAGTATATATCAAAGCCTATACAATACCGGCATTGTTGACAGGTTGATCCAATATAACTCAGACCTCAACTGGAGCGCAAACATTTTTCTGAACAATCTTTTTTCTTTCTGTCAGAGGTACCTCATTTGTCTCACTAACTTATTAGATAGAATTTGCATATTTGTCAAAACAACTGCAGCCAATTTTTGTGATAATAAACTGACAGGTTGGATTTCCCCACCCTGATTTGGAAGTGGTGAGGCTGTGATCAGAATTCTGCATACATTAGTCTAGATACAATCTTGCCGCAGTGTGCATATAAACAACGTGAGGTGGAGAGGAATAGGACAAGATAATCTGGCACTTAAAAGACACTATCAATCCCGTTGGATTCCCTGTCATTCTTGCCTGACAGGCATTAATATCCCAGACTCTAGTTCAGCTTATTTGGTCTGCACAATGGTACAGGTTTTTATTTAGTTTTGTCCTGGTAGTAAATTTTAAAAGGTTATTCTATTTGATGGAACCACCGTACCATGCAAACCCCTAAGCTGTCACTTTTTTTTTCTGAAAAGATGCTCCTTGCCATAAAACACAATGTGGCAAGAGCCTCCCTTCCTTCTGTATTCATACTTTTAGAGAGTGCTCACACAATGGTTGCCCAAGTACTTCGGTAATAGGAGAATGTTCCCCACATAGTCGTAAATGAACTCACATTTGAAAGATGGCATTTACAATAGCAGGTCTTTCTGTTTCTTTTTTAATGCGGCCTCTGCTGCTATTAAAACTGGCATCGAATTTCTAGTTAATGCAAATACTTTTGTTTATAGTAATTCAGAAATCACTGAACCCCTTTTTTATGTAGCTGTACATTTTGTGTTGTTGGTGTCACACTGGATCACAAAATGACATGAATAAACATGTGAATATAAATATGAATATGTGACGTCTAATCTGCCTGTTTTACATGCCTCAAAAACACACAGCCTCATCCATTCAGATCAAAATCTTTGTCCAAAAATGGTAACAAACCTGCGATAGGAGGAGACAGCAGTTTCCCAGAATAGACCGCAACAGTGTTTCCGCTATATGTATTCAGCTGTGACAATGCACTGTGACAAGGGCATCACCTGCTGCACCGTGAAGATTTTTCAAACACAAAAATATATATTTGTCCTGACATGCCGCTAATAGTCAAAAGCATCGTAACCTGTAATGACAAAGGCAGGTTCGGTTATGTAGCACAGACGTGTCTCTTTTGTGTAACTTTGTAGGTTTATGTTTAATTATTTGTGTTTGCTGAGAGCAGGTTTACCCACGGCAGAGCTGTTTGGTATTTTTGCAGTGCCTGCATGCAAGGGAGACAGGGACCTTTTATTTACTCTTTACTCAGTGTGAGTGGAGCCTGCTTGGAAAGAGCACAGGCCTGTTTCCAAGTCTTTGTAAAAACAGATGATTAATGTACCTCTCTCTAATCCACTGTCCAACAACAATATTTATGTGTCGACTCTAATACCTCTCCTGCAGATGAGACAACATCAAATCCCACCTGTTTGAATTGGAATGCAATTATCATATTTCCACCTGCGGGGCGCATGCTAAACAGCACTCGAACATTTCTCTTTATGCGTCTTGACTTCCTGTTGCAATATTTTTATGCATGAATCGCTCACGGCCCTGTTCCCTGACCTGCTCCCGTGAAAAACAGAAGTATATTAAAGCTTTCCTTTTGTAGAATAATGACACTAGTGAACCCAGAGGAAATCAAAGTTTTACCGCACACCAGAATACTCAGGTTGACACTTATTTTATTTACTGTTTACATTAATAAACCAAGGAACGAACAACGTGTTTTGCATGTTGCCCCATCACATTTGCTCTCTTCTAAATTGCCAACAGGTGTGTCTTTTAAATAATCACTTGCTGATTAGCAAAGAATCCAACAGGTGCACCACAGGATGTCAACAATAAGGCAATAGGCAATAGCAGCTATAATTCTACCACACAGATAGGGATGCACAAATTTGTCGCCTGCACCTACATTGTCATATTTTGACATTTAGGTCCACCGACAAAGTGGCATTATTTGACGAATTGGGATGAGAATGCATTGGATATTTGCCTTGTTGACTGCTGTCAGCCTATTGGCAAATAAATGGTGTTCACTGATGGCCGATGTTTATTATGTTGAGTCACATCTATTTTGCACGGACTAGAAAGCAGGGCTCCAGACTAAGGGCGTCCCAGCATCCTGCTTAGAAAACATGTTTGGGACAAACACAGATCTTCCCAGTGATGGAACAACACAGTAAACTCACTATCGACACAGCAGGGGATGCAAACGTTTGTTTCCCTGATAATGGGAAGCTACATTATGAAAAACAAATCCATGTTAACATCGAGAGGAGGAAAGCACGTTGGCCAGAACTAACTGCTGATGGAGGTTACATTTATTATGGAAATCACGATATATTATGAACCGTAAAAAGGCTTTTGAAGCAGTTTTTTTAATATATTTTCATGGGAAAGAAGGTTATATAAAGGTTGTTTCATTAATATGTATGGATGAATTTGTGCTCCTTCAAAGAGAATGTAATGATAGACTGGCTGTTAAAGTTCAGTTTTAAAGTTTTTAAGTTCAGTTATTTCTTTATAATTAAGATTTCTTTGTTTCCCTGGCACAAAAGCCAGAAATGATAATAATTAAAAAATGTAACCAAAAAATAAATAAATAAACAGCATTGGTCCAGAATTTCACAAGTGGTGCATCTCTAGTACAAAATTTAAATTTAAATATTACATTTCATAGCATAATGATGTATTACTGTTAATGTTAGAGCACAACAGAGGATGAGTAGATCTAGACCACATACATTTCCATAAAGTGCAAAATAAAATACATTAATATTCTCATAATAAGTTATCATAAACTAGTGGGGAAAAAATAGTAAAAATGTATATACGTAGATGCCAAAGGGTACTATACAAAATACACACTATATTACATGCTGTACACCAGTAGGAGGAGGTGAATATTATCTACAGAGAAGATATAAAATATATCTGTCTTAATAATGTAAGGGAGGGAAAAGGAATGTTAATATTTTGAGTCTATCAAATGTGTGTTTACATAAATGATTGTAAGACTTACAAGTAGTGAAAAAAAATGTTGTGTGCATATGAAAGTGCACTCTTGTGCCAAATCAAAAACGTTTGTAAAGCTGCAAATGTTTGACTTTTGAAATATTCTATTTTAGTCAGATGATATTTTAGCCGTATAGCATCTCCCGACAAACCGTGTTTGACACTGTGTCAAAATGAATCAAACCATTTATAATAAGACAGAACACAAGGCATCTAAGAAAGAGTGTTTTCTGTTTTGGGCAGCTGCTGTCCCTCTTGCGATTTGGTCTTTTTAGTAAACTTCCTTAGACAGGCCTCCTTTCCCCCAGTGGGAATTCAGGCTATCATCCCAGTCTTAACATCCTCGCCTTCTTAAAATTGTTTTTACTGGAGTGAGTATATTCTTAATCCCATATCACTGTGTGTGATACTGGTTCATTTGCTCCTCTCTACTGCTTCACTTTAGCGAGAGTGTAAATGTTTCAGCAAAGGATCTGTTTGTGTATGCAGGGTAACTGTAGTGAGTAAGAGAGTGAGGGCAGCCTTGTTGCACCAGTGGCTTGTCTTTCAGGCGTATATCTGTGGAGAAATCAATGCTGAATGTTGATGGGAGAGATATGTGGCCTCTGACTCTTCCCCCTCCTACACACAAACAGATGCTCACACACACATACACACTCAGGCATGCATGCGCACACAGTGGGTGAAGACAGCATTGATTTGAAGAGGATACTCTTGCAGTGATTACAGAGTGCTTAACTTGTTATTTCGATGTATCTGCTCTTGTGCACACATCCTCACACTCAAAACAGATGCAAAACAAAAGCAAATAACAGCTTCCTACTCTTTCTGTCTTTTTCTCCTCTGTGTTTCAGACACATGATGCATGTATGGAATGAAGGGCGCGACTTATCCTTTACTCCAGATGGTTACCAGGCCAACCCCAAATTGGTTGTCATCGTCCTAAATAGTGAAAGGAAGTGGGAGAAGGTAACAAATGAGCACAGTGTTTTGCAAAAGAGCATGGAAATTAAAAAGTCAAAACACTTTAATTAAGATGGCTAACCCTGATTTTGTTTATGCTTGTGTGTGTTTGGGCACACACAGATGGGCCGTTGGGAGAACGGGACGCTGGGGTTGATGTTTCCAGTGTGGCCGAGGTATAACTCTTACGGGGATGAGGATGCAGATGAAAACCACCTCTCAATCGTCACCCTGGAGGAGAAACCTTTTGTCATTGTTGACAATGTGGACATCCTCACCGGCACCTGCATGAGAAACTCTGTGCCCTGCCGCAAGCATGTCAAAGAGTAAGTAGACCCTTAGTCATTGTGAGCAAATACACAGCATCTGTCCACCACTGAAGAGTCATTTAAAGGGATACTTTGCCAATTCATAACAATGTAGGTAGTATGTGTAAATAAACAGGGGTAAACTTCCCTTAATCTGCCCGCCACCATAGATACAAAAATTTTAGAAGCAGATCGAGAGAGAAAGCCACCACCCTCTCTCTTGAACTCAGACCGAACTCAGATCAATACTAGGCAGTGCTGATCAAATATAAAGCAGGATTCTGTTACTGCATTCCCTATTTCCTGCCTAAAATGTCCTCACAATCATATTTTAGTGCACTGTTTGGCTGTAATATGAGAATTTGTGGTAGGTGCCATACCTTTTCCTGTATTGTAATAACAAAGGCTGAAAATACAGAAATAAAACAGTAAAACTAAGCAGTGCTGATCAAATATGAATCAAGATTCTGTTACTGTGTTTCCCATTTCTCACCTCAGATGTTTTCAGAAACATATTTGAGCTTAATTTAACTGTAAGGCGGAATTTAAACTTCTGCGTCGAATCTATGCCGTAGCCTGATGTGCACCTCCCCATAAATGTAACTAAATGTCACTACATCGTAGATCTCCTGTCTGTTTTTTGTAAGTTGAAACCATTTCCCTCAGTGGAAAAGAAGCTTTTGTTTACTTTAATTTCAAAGATAAGAAAAAATAAATTGTGTAGATAATAAAGCCTCCACAAAAAGCATATTAAGTCTTGTGTGTGATTTATCCTTCGAGGATTTATACTGGCTTCATATGAGCAGAGGAAATCTCATCACTAGGCTAATTTGTACAATGTAAAAAGCTGTAGGCTGGCGCTAATAACGTTAGCATGTTATATTTGTTTGGAAAACGTGTTTAGTATAAGACAGTTTTTTTGTCAGTGAACCTTGTGAGTTGTAATAGAGTCGAATTTTGTAACATTACCTTTTTAAATGTTGCTGTTGTCCCTGGCTTCATATGAAAAGAGGAAAAGTCTTCTAGTTGCTAGGCTAATTTATACAATGTAAAATGCCATAGGCTTGTGCTAATAACGTTAGCATGTTGTATTTGTGGGAAAAATGTGTCCAGATAAAAACAAGTGCTTTGTCTGTGAATGCTGCGAGTTAAAATGAAGCTGATTTGTGTACTTGTGTTTGAAATTGTCTCTATTAAGCCATGTTTAATGTGTGTTTACTGTGTGTTTTGAATGAACTAAACTTTACAGCACTTCACAGAAACCCCGCCACTGACTAGTGTTTTGGAGGTGTAACTGCAGAGTGACACAGACACACCACTGCACAAGTACAAATGCTAACAACAGCGTAGGCGACATGCGTAGGGTTTGCCGCACAAGTGTAAATCCCTCTTAATATGACATTGTTTGTTACCAGCCGGCTGCCATATTGTTTCCTGTGGGAAAACGGCCAAGCTTGCATGATGTCCATCATCAGCAGGAGCGTTTATTGGTCCTGTGCGGCACAATGCATTCTGTTAGTTGTTGGTTTTCTACCTCTTGAGCAAAAGCGAATTCCACAGCCCTTCTCCTTCATTTTCTCTTGTCATATAGCACCAATTTCAAAAGTAATTGCATCTTTTTACTGCATAGACAGCCTTGTTTAATGAAAAGACCATCTTTCCAGCAGTGAAATACTTCTTTAAAAGCCACACATGCTCAGTGTTATTAAGAAAAGGCTGACAATCCCTGAACTAGAGGTGGTTCAGGATGTGAGACAGGCACGTTTGTTCATTTCAGTTGAATATAAGAGGTGATGTTAGCAAAGCTTTTTCTTGATCTCAGGAAGGTATATGGCACTCTCAATTAGTTTTCCTGTATTCTGTCTACTCATACTTTTTCAGTAGAAAAAAAATGAACATAATCACACCTCTGAAACCTGTCTCAATTTGTCTAAGAACATCCTCGTCAATCAGCTGCCCTTTGCTTGTCCACTTTTGTTCTACAAGGATCAATCCTGGGCCCACTCATTTTTACTTTATATAATAATGACTCACCATCTGTTTGTCCTCGAGACTGAAATCCAAATGTATGTGGCTGACAGTGTAATATATTCACATGGTCCTGCTGAAGCACAAGTTAGTGCTAAATGCACAAACTCAATGGTCCATCTTACACCTTGGTTGTCATGCATGTTCCTTACTAAGACAAATAGGTCCTTTGGAGCCCCACATTTTTTTTTTATAAGGAGAAAAGATATCAGTATTTCTATTCAAATGCAACTCAAGGCAGCTAATTTCAGATTCATAAGTATATATAATGATTCTACATGTCAGCTGAGGCAGCCAAGATGTACATCAGTGATTTTCTCTCACATTACTCAGTATGTTGTGTTCTTTATCAGTGTTGCAGTGGAGTAAAACTCTATTCCGACTTCTGTCAGAGAGTTTAACACCGGCAAAGTCGTTCTCATTTGGTTCATGGGTAATCAGTTCTGTCAGCATTAATAATGAATTGCTCTCTGTTGCTGTCAGCTCGCTAATGCCAATCTGTCGGTGTACTTGATTTTTGTTTCTGCTACCACTGTAATTGCATGTGTTGCCCATTGTGCTCTTTGTTTCATTGTTCCATTAATTCAGTGTGATTCGTGTTTTGTTTTAGATGTACTGAATGTGTTGCTTGTTTTAATTATGACAATTACTAATTAATAATTAGTAATGCTGCTTATGGTTTTGCTCTGGAGTACATATTGACTAAAGCATTAACATTCATCTTATTAATGTAGTTTTAGTGCCTACCTACATTATTAAGATGTGGTCAGGTATGGCAGCAAAGAAAGGCCATAAGAATTTTAATCTTATAAGCAACGGAATACATCTTAAATTTGACTTGAATTATCAGGTAAAAAAATAACCAATTTAAATCTAATTTAGAACTCAAATCTAGTTTATAAATATGATATTTGAATTTTGTATCTGAATATGTAAACCCAGCCCTTCCATAGTCTGGCGACCTGTCCAGGGTGTACCTCTTGCCCAATATCAGCTGTGATAGGCTCAAGCCCCCCTGCGACCCTCAACAGGATACATGGATGGATGGATGGATGGATGGAAATATGTAAACCCTAAAAGGATGTACTTAAAAAAAACAAGCTTCTGAAATTGCAGGGGAGGGAATTACAATGTTTGTTTACAATGACTCCTGGGTAGAAAACCCCTGCATCTTGTACATACAGTTTAATGGTGCTGAGCAAACAGGGTGAGAAATGACAGCAGAAATAAACAAGTTTGCAGATTTGCAGATTTCACATATCTTACCAATTGCCAGTTAACTCCGCAGACATGATTGTTGTTGTTAGTATGACGTCACGGTTGTTCGGCCTATAGAGCTGACACCATCAGTTGATTAACTTATCAGTTAATGGACAGGAAATTAATCAGCTACTATGTGGATATTCATGTAATCATTATTGCGATTTTATAAGTATAAATATCAGCATTCCCTTGTTTTAGCCTCTCTATTGTGAAGATTTGCTGGTAATAGCAGAATATCTTTAAGTTTTAGACAGTTGGATGAAGAAAACAAGAAGTCGTCATCTTGGTTTTAGGAAATTGTAACTGGGCACTTTTCATTATTTTTGCTCATCTATCAACCAAACTATTAATCAGTTTATAGAGAAAACATTTGGCAAAAATAATAATTTCAGTGTGGAACACTTTTGTCAAAGAAAACTTTATTTCCATTTGCAATATTATATTTGGTGGTATGGCTCTGTTCTGGGACCTTTCTGCCTTTCCACGGACCTACGCAGAAAGCCTCTTCCAAACCTCTCTGCCCTTCCATGCGCCTACATGGAAAGCCTAAATCAGGGAGAGCAGAAGCAAAGACACCCCCGGCGATAAGTCAGACACAGCATGAAAAGGAGGAGCTGGGGTAGAGGCAGGTTGCAAAGCGACAGTAGGCAGGCCAGAGCAGTTTAAATAGGGCGCCCTGAATGAGATTTGCCAGTTGGTTGCATAGAAAGGAATCATGTGATGTGACTCCCTTCCATCAATCAGCTGATCCATCAGCTGATTGGCTGATTGGCTGTTTGAGATCAACTGAGGTAGCTGGGATGTGAGCTGAGGCTGAACTAACGCTTGCTCAATTAGTTCCTGCACTAAACTGCACAACTCGATGGTTTTCAAAGTAAAATATTTCAGCATTATAAATTCACTGTAGGTAAGAATATGTAGTGATTAAAGTTCACATTTAGGTGTTTAGTTGCTTATAAGATTCAAATCTTTATGGCCATTTTTGGTTTCAAACACCAGTCCTTTGGCTCACTCTGGCACATTCATAGTTATGTTTATGTATATGCAATGTCCCTGTTAAAAAAAAACAACAACCTCTAAATAAATAAATACATAAATCCCAGCTGGAGCTGTACCTTGAGACAGAAAATGAAAAGATGTTTCATGTGGGACGCTGCCCATCCTTTTGTCATCTCCCATCTGGACTACTGCAACTCCCACCAAGCCAGGCTCGTAAAGTATGCTGTTCAGCAGCTACAAACCATCCAGAACACTGCAGCCTGCCCTGTCTGCAACCTCCCTAAGTTCTCCTTTGTCGCCTCCCCACGTGTATTGCCCCCTCCCTCCCCTCGGCTGCCGGTGGCTGTTCACATCAAATTCTAAATTCTGGTCCTGGCATTCAAGGCTCCTCGGGGGAGTCGCACGCGCATATCTGCAGGCTACGGCCTATCCATATTCGCCAGCCTATGCTCTGCTACAACCGGCCACTTAGCTCTCCACTCCCTGCGGCAGCTACGTCATCGTTTCACCTGGCCTTGACTCTTCTTTCTATGGTTCCCCAATAGTGAAATGTCCTTCTCACTCCAGGCGGGACAGCACAATTACTCCATATCTTCCATTGTAAAAAAAAAAAAAGCCTCTCTCTCCCCTGAATATCCCCATTTCCCAAATCCTCATGCTGCAGCTGCTATTTGAAAAATATCCCTTGTATCTGTTTACTTTTCTATTCTTATTTTTAGCATATCTTTATCTGACTCGATCACTTCAGGATCTCAGGAAAATTTTGGTATCTGTTATCAGTGCAGCAAGTCGTTCTCGATAACAGTATCAGCTAATGGAATGAAAATGTTGCACAAATTCATATTGACTTTTTTGTGCTGCATCAAATGTGATTATTTTTCATGCATATATACAGTTTTTCCCACCTCACCACTCACCACCTCACTGCATATATATCACTTTCTCCACTGCAACAATAGCAGTGGGCTGAATGTCTCAAATCATCCTTTGTTACACATAATATGGGTTCAAACAAACTGAAATTCATATCATAGGGACTAAACCTAAACTAGATTTAGGTATAAAACATACATTTTGCCACAAAGGAATCAGTCATGGACTTATTAAGGCATTTAGTTAATGATTTCATTTTTTACTTGTGATTTTAGTCACATCACTTTACATTCTCAAGATTTCAAATCAGTTCAGTGTTTCTACATGTATGATGCACACTTAAAAATCAGTGCAGCAGAAAGCTTTAGAGCCTTCTATCTTTTAAGAGCAACATGTCAAACAATACAATGGACTTTTCCCTTTGAAAAAAAACTTAAAAGACATTTTTTATAGTGGCTGAAATATGTTGCAGGCCGTCTCAAGCGTGTAAACAATGCAGAGATTCTTCACAAATAGTCAGCTAAAGTAAAACTTTCTCAAAGAAACTTCCCTTGGATTCTTTGACATCTTGGGTTTTGCTCCAATTATCTGCTATATATGGACACCTCAATAAGAGCCTCTGCATGACAAGAGCTTTGTTTCCTCTCTGCTAATTTCTACAATTTAGCTCACATCTGAGCTCATCTCTATACAGCCAGTTCAGTGTACATAGAAGTAATCATAATTGCTGCAGGTTTGTCACTGGCTCAGTGGTTCTGGTTGGTTGCTTGGCCGCAGCACAGTCCAAATGCAAAGATAAAACATTATCTCATCTCTTTTCTGAAGTATTTTACCCATGACTGACAGCATTATTGTCATAATTTCAATGAATGTCAAAATTTCTACCAGACAATAGAAAACAGTTAAATTTTTCAGGATAGCAATTAGGATAGGATAAAATAGGATCAGACAGTCATTGCTAGCCACAGGCAACGTGCCAGAAACTCAACTGTAATTACTTTCTTTTAAGATTTATTTGCCTTTTTTAAACAAACAATTCACCACAGTAAAAGCTTTTGTGTTAGACAGACTTGAGGAGACAGACAGAAGATGTGAGACAACAACCATTAAGTTTCTGACCCATGCAGTCACGACATTGCAGCACTGTAGGCATGGACAATTAGACGACTGAATCACACAGAGCATGGGAGGTTTAATTTGTGACCCGTTGTCTTAACCTTTCTTCAAAGCGATTGCCATAGAAGTCTGAGCGGTCACAGGCCAGGATGACTAGTCTCTTCTGGGCCTTCGTTTACGTTACATTTGCTGTTTTCCGTGTCCAACCATCCGTGCGTCCATACATACATCCAACCATCCATAAGTGCTACATTTACTCAGTCACTACTTCCATTTTATTTGTGTGTATTTGCTGTTACGAAAGTATGACATGAATCAAACAGATGTGCTGTATGTGTATCTGGGGAAGTCTGTTGTCATCGCTGTATGTTTACATAGTGACATAAGGACACAGAGAGGACTCAGCTGGGAAGAGCTAATGTATACATTATGTGTGCATTAGGACACCTGGGGCACATACTGTACATACACAACCTCACACACATTTTTCTATATATGTATGTATGAATATATGTATGTATGAATACGATGCTCTCTTTCTTTCACACACACACACACACACACACGCACATGCACATGCTTTGCTGCAGATACAGTTGACTGCTGCTAAAAGATGTTTTAATCCTTTGATGATTCAGTTCTTTGACAGTCGCTCTCTGTGTTCTCCGTGTGCGAATCCCACAGTTCTTTATGAACTTTCTCTTGAATCGGAGTCAGCTGAAATGGCAAGTGAAAAGGTCACAGAGTTACTGTTCTAATCCATACATGTTACAGTACATCAGAGATGGCTGACATGGGAACAGAATAAAGTTTTCATGGAAATACTTTTAAAAATGCTAGTAGAGTTTAATAGATTATGAGTGGATCATTTGATCCAACAATTCGGCTTAGCTCACAGCTCCGAGGTCCTCGGAGAGGCCTGTCAGAAAAGTTTACTTCAACATCCATTTCCATTCTGTGCATCCTGTCTATACAGCTGCAGTGTGTATGTACAGAAAGACGGCTGTGAGTTTTGGAGTACCTCCTTACGGACTCAATCAGAGAACCACATAGGAGGAGGGGAGAAAAGGACAGCGTAAAGGAATGAGGAGGGAGAAGAGGGGAAGGACAGCTGATATTTTAATCATGTGGGTTGGTTGTTCTGCAGAGCCCAGCTCTATTTAAAGCCCGGCAGCATCTGCTCAGTACCCCTGTGTTTTCAGGCACTAAGGGAAACACATACACACACTCACAAACTCCAATGCAAGCTCTCTCTGCCCTTCAGCAGTATTTATGGTTACTCTGCACTGTCATAATTCTAGTTTTACAGTTTGATGGAACCACCAGATGTGGAGCGAGCAGGCGGCATGAGTACAGTTACACTCCCCACTCACTCGCCTGTATAACACTGATATGTGCTCCGATATGAAAAAATATGACCTAATTGTGATAGTGTGTGTCTGTGTGTTGCAGTAACACCACATCAGGAGGTTCTTACATCAAGCAGTGCTGCAAAGGTTTCTGCATTGACATTCTGAAGAAGATAGCAAGGAACGTCAAGTTCACTTATGACCTCTACCTGGTCACAAATGGAAAACATGGCAAGAAGATCAACAATGTGTGGAACGGCATGGTTGGAGAGGTAAGTCCTACCTGACTAAGTACAACACCATATCAGTCTGTCTCTCTGACTTTCTATGTAATTATTAGGAAACACATGGATGTAATTAGATGAGAAGATTGATACCACTCTAATGTTTGTGCAGTAAATATTAAGCTACAGCCAACAGCCAATTAGCCAAGCTTAGTGTAAAGACTGGAAAGAGGGGGAACAACTCGCCTGGATCTGTCTAGTTGTACATAAACCCACCCACCAGCACCTCTATAGCTTACTAATATCATGTTATGTCATACAGCTAAGGCTTCCAGTCTTTATGCTATGCTGTGTTAACCCCCTGCTGCCTGTTGCTTCATATTTAAATATGAGAGTGATATGGATCCTCTTATCTACATATTAGAGAGAAAGTAAGCATGCAGTTTGTCATTACTAATGATTTACAGTGGCACATTAGCAACAAGTCCTTCAACCTAGGGTGACCATATTTTGATTTCCAAAAAAGAGGACACTCGGCCCGGCCACGAGATAGCCTACTTAAATCATACTCGTAGTTTACTCAAAGATGCCGTATAATTTTAATATATTTAAAGTTTATATGTAAGGATAGAATATTCAGTTATATTACAAAATAATATCTCTCAAAGACAGAAATTCAGATAGGCCCCTATAGATAGGGGACACATTCACACACTAGAGGGTCCCGATGGGTCGGACCGGGTTCGGTCAAAAATGTATAAATTGTATTTGGGCTCGGGTCACATTCGGTCAGCTTTTTTAATGTAGTGTAAAAATAAATAAAATCCAGGGGCGTCGGTGGCTTGGTGGTGGAGCGGGCGCCCCATGTGCAGGGCTGTTGCTGCGGCGGTCCGGGTTCGGCTCCGGCCTGTGGCCCTTTGCTGTGTGTCGCTCCCTCTCTCTCTCCCCCCTTCACGCTCGTCTGTCCTGTCAATTAAAGGCTTAAAAATGCCCGAAAAAATATCTTTAAAAAAATAAATAAATAAATAAAATCCTATTGTCTGTCCTGTTTATTGCTTGGGGACTGTTATTTACGTGACAACACCTGAACAGAACACACACACATTGGCTGTTTGCTTCTACCTCTCCCCTCGCTGGAAGCCTCGGACCTCCCACCGCCCGCTCCTGTCTCAAACACGGAGGTCTTCCTCTCCGCGGAGCACCGATGGCGCACACCTGGCCTGTTAATTAGCTTGTAACCATAACAACTGTGTGACACAAGCTCAGTGCTTTAGTCATTAAATAATGTCGGGCTCGGTTCGGTTTCAGACATAACAAAACAGAATGACTGTCGGGTTCGGACAGAAATATGCGGCCCATGCTGCACTCTAACACACACACACAAGGAAAACTGGACATTATCATCAATTTATAAACACCCCCCGGACGCCCCGGACAGGACGTCAAAAGTGGACATGTCCGGGCAAAAGAGGACGTTTGGTCAGCCTATCCAACCCATACAACCACATATGTCATTTGTTCCCACCATACGGCCCACAGGAGTGTTTTCTAAATTAGCAGCCCTACTGGTTAGCTATGATGTGGAAGACATGACTCACCCTACTCTCCATATTAGCAAGAACATGGTACCTTTGTTGGACTGGTTAGCTTTACGCAAGAGGCGTGACATTGGTTAGGGTTAGGAAAAGAATGTCAGTATAAGCCAATCAGAGGCAGAGTAGGGCGGGTCATGCCTTAACCATCCTAGAAAAAAACTCGCTACCAGTTAGCTAATTACACGACGCTGCTCAGTGGCTGACTCAGGGCTTCACATTCACATTTTGGACTTGTACTGTATTCTAATCCATGGCAGAGGACGTTTTTATAAGTGTATGAATGTCTGTGAGGTTAAGTGCATGTGCCGAAAAACATTTTCACATGGGTGGACAATAATGATGTCTATTCTGTTTTATTGTACTCTATTCTTGATAAAGTCAAAGAGAAGAATTAAGGTCGGGCATTGTCACGTTATGTAGCTCCTTATTATAATGTCACAACATGATGTTATCTTAATTTCGTAACTTAAAATGACTCAACATTGACTTTTGGTTTTACACGGGACACATACAGTGGCCTGCTAGGTCAAAGTCCTGTGTTTCTTTGACCCACTCTGACTGCCTCTGGTCTGGCACACAGAATTTATCGCTTTTTAAAGCTTACTGTGTCACCTGACTTCCTCCTTTGAGCCCGTCATAATTATTGCATCCACTAGAGGTCACCGCATACACTAAACTTAAATATGGGTCTCAATAAACTGCTTGGAATAACCAAGGATGTATAAAGACGACTGGATACAGCTTTCGAGGCGGGACCCCGTTCATTCCTATGAAAGTTGCTCAGTGGCACATGAAGCCAAAAAGTTTGACCTCCAGGAATAAAATTATCCCAGTACCTCCAGCATTGTTTGGCCCATAGAGCCAGTGCACTCCAGACTTTTGCAAGCTGAATGGCTTACTTCTGCCAGCTGAGCAGCCAACTTCCAGTTTAACCCTTTGCTAACCTTAATGGGGATAAAAATGAATTATTTGTGCGCCTCCTCTAGACTTTCGAAATGTTACTGGACCAAATGGTGAATAGTGAATCGAGTCATTCTGTGGGGCTGCTTGTTGCTTGTTCCTCCCTACATTTGGACTCCACTTGGAATTATCATTAAATATAATGTTTACAGGATAAGGCTGGTGTTATTCTATGTGTTTTTTATCGTCAAAAAATACTAGAAAATGTTCCTACTGCCTACTGCCACTCAGCTTCAAGCCCATTAGTTCTGACTAGAGAAGTGCTGTGTTTTTATTAGCTGTGACCAGCAGCTTCCTCTGTCTGTTAGTTGATCCACATAAAATTTCCCCAGTCTTTGATGGCCACAGTTTTTGCCCTGGGAGGCTGAAATTTGGCATGGAGGTCGCAGCTATTGCGAATTCACACTTGTTAGACAACAATGGTGGAACAGAGGAGTACAGAGGAACAAGCTTAATCAGGCTTAAGATACAGAGACAATATTTGTTAGAAGAATCAATTTATTGTTGGTTTTGGTAGTTTTTGATGGGATTTGTTGACTTTTAAGAAGAATGTGGAATATCGGCCGACTCAGACTTTAAAGCTACAATCTGTTATCCAATTATGAACAAAGGAGTCACCGCACCACCAAACCTTAAAACACAGGACTGGAAGCTGCTTTAAAAGATCACTTTTAAATTAACTGACAGATCTTTTAATACACATTGTGACACTAGACCACAATATGTGAGCGCTTATGTTTTCTGTTTCTGTCAAAGGTTTGTTTATATCATTAGTGTTTGTGAGTAGAAAAGCTTTACTGTATGTCTTCAAATACAATCACTTGTGAAGCACCATAAAAAGCTAATTTGTCACCATTAAGTCAAACGTTTACCTGTGATTTATACGGTGAATGATATTTCTTGCTGAGGTTTTAAATTCCACACAATCAAATATTTAAGAGTGCAGATTAGGAAGCTCTTCAACAGGAGCAGGGTACCTTGAGGCTCACTTGATCGTTTGTCTTTTCTGGAAATGATTTATTCCATCATAGATTAAATTAAAGCTAAGTGCTGTCACAGTAAAAGTCCCTAAAGGTTGAAAGTGACGTGTAAAACATCTGATAATGGACCCTGCCAATATGATCCATAGATTGTAGTAATGTTTATGGGAGCGGACCGCTGCGAGCCTTTAGACAATTAAATCAGAAAAAAACACAACATTTTACTGCATACTAAAAACGACATCTTTATGTGCAGAATCTCCATCTGTCAGAATACATTCAGACACCCAGAAATGGTGGCACAATGAAAAAGACAGCTGTATTTTTACTTTTCATCTGATATGGCTGAAAATGCCCTCCAACTATAGCTGACATTCTGAGCTCATACCCTCAGTCACTGTGATATTTCACATCCAAAATAAAAAGGAGGAACGTATCAAAGACGAATTGTATGATGTTGTCCAAACATTCACAGAGCTCACTGTGTTTATTTCTGTCAGTGTGGGTAGTGAGTCACGCACCTTCTGTAACCATTCTATTCTCCGTCAACCAGGTGGTGTACAAGAAGGCGGTGATGGCGGTCGGCTCATTGACCATCAATGAGGAGAGGTCAGAAGTCATTGACTTCTCTGTGCCCTTTGTGGAAACTGGCATCAGCGTCATGGTGTCACGTAGCAACGGGACCGTCTCTCCTTCTGCCTTCCTCGGTAAATCTTCCTTTTTGTCTTCCTCAACAACAGTTTTTTTCCTCCTTCTTCTTTTTCACCGTCTGTCCCCCAGTGAGCTGACAACTGGGAGCGGGGGGAAAAAAAGGAGGTGCTTACATGTTGGCAAAACCCCGCACATAAAATGGAATATTTTATTCAGACAGTATATGCTGGCCAAATTCCACTTGTACTCTGACTTTATCTGGGCCTCAACACCCTAAGCACATTAATATTTCTAGCAGAGCGGAGGAAGCATAGTGTGCCAGCTGTTTTTTGAAAAGTCAGCTCAGACAAAGCATTCTTGATACTATCCTCCTCCTTCTCTTCTTCTCTCCTCTTCCTCCTGTGCCTCCTCCTCCTCCAGTTGTTCAGATGACTAGAAACTGAAGCGCTCCTCTGTGCTCGCCTAATGTCTTGTATTGTCATTGGAGCGAGACGGGGAGCGAGGGGATGTATTGGACCATGCATGTGTTGGTCCCTGTGTATCAAGCCATGTGTCAGTATGCGTGTGTGTGTGTAAGGGTAGGAGAAAAAAAAGTGTGTGTGATACTGCACGAATATATTAGGGCATTTGAATCCAGGGTGTGTGGAGAATGAATGTGCTTTGGCCATATGTATGTGAATACTTTGTGTGCGTATTTATATGAAAGCACATTGTATGCATGTGTGTGTGAGTGTGTGTTGAGCCTGGGCCAGGGTATCAGTGACGGTTCAGTATCTCTCGCACTCATATTAGAGGCACCTCAGTGCACAATCTCTCAGGGTTGGCTAACCCTGGCAGTCACATACTTAGACATAAAGTGACACACACACACACACACACACACACACACACACACACCACACACATACAATTTGTCTGGGTTCGGCGTCTTTGGCACTCATCCCGCTCTCTGAACTCCTGCCCTGCAACACACCAAACACATGCAGACTCACACTCTCACACACATGCACAGATCACACACAAATAGATCACATACACATGCCCACAGCAGGGCACATCAGATCACTCGGAGTTTGATTCTTCTCTCTCTCACCCTCTGTCTCTCTCTCTTTCTCCCCCCCCCCCTCCTCTACCATCTCTCCCCCGCCCCAGGCCTCTCCCTCTCTCAGCTCTCATCCAAGGGAATAATGAGAAATATGGAAATGTGCTCCGTCAAACTCTCTGTGACTAACTCTCCCTCTCCTCCCCTCCTTCCCTCCTCTCTCACTCCGTCTGTCTCCCTCTCTCGCTCTCTCTCCGTCTTCACTATCATCTTTTCCTCGCTTTATCTCCCCCTCGTGCCTGTTCTCTTTCTTCACGTCTCCTCCTTCACTTCTCTGAGCCTCTCTGTCTCCTCTTTCTCTCCATCCCTCACTTTTTATGCATCTCCTGCTCCTCCGCTGTGTCTCTCTGTCTCATGTGCTCGATTTCTCTTTAACGCTCTCTCCCCACCCCTCTCTCTCTCTCTCTCTCTCTCTCTCTCTCTCTCCTGCTCCTTCTTCTCAGAGCCCTTCAGCGCATCAGTTTGGGTGATGATGTTTGTGATGCTGCTCATTGTCACAGCCATCGCCGTCTTCCTCTTTGAGTTTGTCAGTCCGCTGGGCTTCAACCGTAACTTGGCCCAAGGCAAAGGTAGGCTTACACACACACAATCAGGAATATCACACCAATCGTTTCTCCCAGGAGCAAGAAGTACAGATTCAATCTTCCCCTGGAGCAAAAAGAACTGACCTATTATTACCCTGACTTCAGACAGTTCACTTAATGTTACACAGCATTAACATTTCTCTCCCAAAGCTAGTCACATCATCAAAAATCAGAACCTGGAGCTGCCCCTGCTGACTGTGAACCGGAGATTAATGCTGTACATTTTGCATTAATATGACATTTAAATGACCTGGAGGCCGATCCAGGTGTTGCAAGTGAACTGTGTTTTTATGAACATGGTTTAGTAAAGCTGAATAATGTGATAAGTTTGCTAATTTTTCATTTTACACACTCACTGAACAACAAATGCCTACAAATGTAAATGTGAAGCCATTTGTAGGCAATTTAATTTATAACAATGTTGTCTTATACAAAAAGTTTCATCTTTACTAGAACAACGTATTTTTAAAAGAATATAGTATAACATTTTATGAGTGCACATGATACTTGATGAGCGTAAGATGAGAAGATCGATACCCCTCTCGTGTCTGTTCGATAAATACGAAGCTGGAGTTAGCAGCTGGTTAGCTTAGCTTAGCACCAAGACTGGAAAAAGGTGGAAATAGCTAGCATGGCTCTGTCCTAGCATAACACAATCCAACCCAACACCACCTATAAAGCTCATTAATTAACACATTATGACTCATTTGTTTAATCTGTACAAAAACTGGAGAGTAAAAAGAGCATGTTGGGTTGTGTGACAGAATATTCTTAGCCAAGAGTAACTATTGTCACTAAGTTTTTATGCTAAGCTAAGCTAAGCTAGCCAGCTGCTGGCTTCTGCACAATATTGACTGTACTGAATTGAGAGTGGCATGAGATTGAATTGTGTTCTTTGTATTTATTTTATATTTCTTCATTGTGTCACAACTTATAAGTCTTTGCCCACTTTGAAATAACCTCTCAACTTGCAGTTTGTAGTGTGTTTCACGTGCACATTACTGCGTACAGCATCACAATAGCAGGACTGAATCTCACAAGCAGTTTTGTAGTTTTCTTATTTTCTCTGTAAGATTTAAGTCTGAAATACATCCTCTAAAGGGGCTGTATGCGGCTAGCAGCTAATGATGCTAACACCATAAGCAGCGCTTAACAAAGGCAACAGTGCTGACAGAGCTTACGGTGTTGACCAGGGGGAACCACAGGGTGGGCGCTACACTTCCACGACGCCGCCATCCCATTATCAGTGGTAACTGCCATATGAGTGCAGTGCAAAGTGGTGGTGATGAGTCAGTCAGTGGGATGCACACATGTACTAACATGCAAGCGGCCAGATCAGCCTACCACAACAAATCGCAGAGAAGTTCGGATTATAACACACACAGAGGGAGTGTGACTTCATTCTCTGCTCAGGACTCCTTTAATTTACCTATATCTTTACATAGCAAACAGTGGTCTGCTGCTGTATTGATGCTCTGAAGGTTGCATACATAACCTTCAAGATTAAGGTTTGTGGCTTTGACTTGTTGGAAGTAAAGGTCAATCTAGTTGGCCGAAATAAGTTTTGGTCTTTGCTCATTAATCACACTCGTAAACCCAAGAAAATGCCTGTCATCCCCAATGACTGTTGCAAAACTTGTGAGCTGTAGGCATAAATAAAAAGCCAATAATACTGTCACATTATATTTACAATGTCACCCCTCTGGAGGAAGCATGATGCCCTCAAACTGGATTGTAAAACTCTTTGTCTTAACTTTTCTTTGGGAAGGTTTTCTCCAGTTAAAAGATGGTCACACGTATGACGCCTTGCAAGGGAAAAAGGGAAAAAGACAATAATTTATATTGTAATGTGCAACATTACATTATTATATATCACTGGCTGTTTTTAACCCCAAAATCAGCCTCACACTGTCAGCTGGCAATGTGAGTTAAAGGTTTAATATTCTTTTACCTGCCTTGGCCTTTCGTGCTTCTTCTACACACGCTGTAGTCTTATTTATGCTTTCTCTTTTTATTTCTCCCTCTGCTCCCCGGCCCTGTCTCTGTCAGAACCACATGGTCCATCATTCACCATCGGTAAGGCCATATGGCTGCTGTGGGGTCTGGTGTTCAACAACTCTGTACCCGTGCAGAATCCAAAGGGCACCACCAGTAAGTTCATCGTATCAGTGTGGGCCTTCTTCGCCGTCATCTTCCTGGCCTCCTACACTGCCAACCTGGCTGCCTTCATGATCCAGGAAGAGTTTGTGGACCAAGTCACTGGACTGTCTGACAAGAAGGTGCGATTACACACATATGGACACGCAGAAACACACACACACACACACACACACACACACACACACACACACACACACACACACACACACACAGAAGAAACTAAACACATTCACAGTCAGGGTTGCTCTTGTAATGGATGCCAGCCCTGCGGCCAGACAGGACTCTCTAGGGAGCGCCCTTGGGCTTCAACAGCCCAAACCCTCTGGCCGTAGCTGTCACCACACTAACACTGCCAGCACAGCAGACCCAGAGGCGCGCACACACACACACACATACACACGAGCTGCATAGATCAAAGACGTGTGTGTGTGTGTGTGTGTGTGTGTGTGTGTGTGTGTGTGTGTGTGTTTGTTTGGATGTGTGTGTGTGTGTGTGTGTGTGTGTGTTTGTTTGGATGTGTGTGTGTGTGTGTGTGTGTGTGTGTGTGTGTAGTTTGCAGAGGCTGGCAGTGTCAGCAGAACCCCAGCCAGTCTTACGCTAGACTGGACACACAATGATGATGACTGATGAGTCCACTCCACTGTCTCTCCTTCCTCCTTTCTCCTCTGTCTCTTCTTGTCACTCTCCGTCCTCCTCTCTCCTATCACTGTGTCTCTTCTTCACTTTAACACTACTGCTCTCACTCTCTTACTTGGACTCCCTTTCCTCCCCTCCCTCCTCTGCTCTCGCTGTCTCTCCCTCCTGCTCCTCGTCTTTTAGTTTATTTGTTTTTATTTTTTCTTCTTTTGTGCCCCTGTCTCCTCCTTTCACTTCCCTCTTTAAACAATCTGTCTCTGTTTTCCCGCCTTTGTCTCGCTGCAGTTCCAGAGTCCGTACTCCTATTCCCCTCCGTTTCGCTTCGGGACGGTTCCCAACGGCAGCACCGAACGCAACATCAGGAAGAACTATCCAGATATGCATCAGTACATGACCAAATACCATCAGACTGGCGTCCAGGATGCGCTGGTCAGCCTCAAGACTGGGTACGGTAATCTTGTCAAGTCAACTCATGTCAAGTTGAGATTTATTATACCTGAGAGGCTAATTCTGTTTGCAGACAGCATGTATGCATAAGAAGTGAAAACAAACAAAAAAAGGACGTTGCATCACACAGAAACTCGGCCCCATGGGGCCCAGCACTAGCTCATGCTAAAACTCTGCAGAAACTGTGCTCAGTGTTTCTGTCACTGACGGTAAAAAGCAGACGCTGTCTGCAAGTGCTCATTATTGAGTCTTGTTGCTGCTGGAAAGAGGAAAGAGGGAGCTGCCAAAACAGGGAGAGTGTAATTTGTTCTGGAGTTTGCTACCTTTATTCTCCCTCCTAAACACACACTAATGGAAGGATGGCTGCAGTGCTTTTATTTGTTCATTAGTTTTGTGTGCTTTGATCTTTTGGGTATTTTCTTCAAATATAATTTTACATTTTGCTTTTCTCTCTCTGCAATTACTTCATTGATACTGCATATCAAATAGATATGGTTTGTTTCTCATACCTCATATATTAGCTTTTGTTTATACAACATCAGAACTTTATAATTAATGTGCTCAGCAGAATCATCAGTGTTTCATTCAGTTCTTCAGCGAAATTGGTTGTTTAGGCCGAAGAAAATGTGAACAGTTTGGAGTTTCTGCACAAGGCTGTGACACAAAGGACACATTTAAAATGCTCTGTACTTTAATGAATCTACAGTGTATTGATTTCATATGCTGTGTGTACTTAAATAAATTAAATTCTCTGTGCAGTGTTCCAACAACAGATACTCAATGACTGCATTTAACATATGCCCTTTGGTGAACAGTTTAATTCAAAGTGTTTAATATTTATGCATACATCTCTTACATGGAGCGCCTCGGGGGGATTGATTAGCAACAGGGTGTATTCATTGGATTATATAAAACCATTTTTTGCTGATGAAGAAGATATCAAAAGGGTGCTGCTGCTCTATAGGGTGGTGATATCAGCTGCTTGTTCCATTGTGTTTGGTTAACCGTCATACATCACGCTTCTGTTTCTGCTGAGCTCAGATGTATCGGGCCCACATCGGGGGATTGTTGCATCAGATACAAATTGAGCCCCCTTGGTTTGAATTCAGTTTGTCATGTCAGAATAATGATCAAACCTGCGAGTAAAAGATTCCATCTCAGTGCCAACAAAGGCATCCTCATGTGTGTAAATATTTACCATACCAGCGTGCACACCGGACAATACCATTAGTTACAGAGTCCAAATCTAATCTGCATGAGAATTCCGTCTTCAGGAAAACAGAGTGTTGTGAGTAGTCCGACTGGTTTGTTTATGGATCTTTGGAACATTGTTACTGGCACAGCGCTGTGTGTACATTAGGCTCAGTAGTGAAGACTCAGCAGTGTGGTGGTCTTTAGTGATGAAGCCTGACGGATCAGATTTCACATAGTCAACAATCCCCAAATACATTATAATTGTTTTTTTAATTGAAATGTTGTACATTTTAAAAAGACATATAAAATCATAATAGAAAAATATGTCCCTTCATTAACTGGTGCCCGCCACTTACAAGGCCCACCCTCTGCGACCCTTTTAAGCAGTGGTTCCCCACATCTCTGGCTTGTGAGCAATGTCCACATCTGATCCCTGGTCACAGGTGATGGCCTTAAATTATGAGTAGTGTGAGGTTCAGAGTGATTGTTTTTCCCCAGAGATTATTCCAGTCAAACATTTTTTAAGTCTATCACAAGAATAAAGCAATGAAATTCTAGAAACGTCTGGAGAAAAAACAATTTCTTTTTCCTTAACTCATCTTCTGACCTCCAGCTGTATCTGTATGCTTTAAAGGAACAGTTTGACATTTTGGGGAATACATTTACATGCTTGCTTGCAGAGAGCTAGATGAGAAGATTGATACCACTATCATGTCTGAGGCGTATCAGGCTTCTCATCTAAGTCTTAGCACAAAAGCAAATAAGCATATTTCTGAAAACTATTTCTTTAGATAAGGTGGTCTGAAAGTTGTCCTTGTTACAAAACACAGTGCAAAAAGTCTGTGAGGAGTTTTGGTGCAGGACTATTTCTTGGCCTGGCGCAGTGACCTCGTGGAGTCTCTGCTGGTTACTCTTACATCTGTCTGCAAGAAATAAAAAAGCATACTACCCAAAATGTCATACTACTCATTTAAAGCATACCAATGTCTAGTCATGACTGCATGTCACAGGTTGGGTATGTTTATTTCATTGAAAAGACATGTCCCCTTCCCAAATTGCTTTAACTAAATAGTTTGAGGCCAGAATACTGGGGCAGCTGTGGCTGAGGAGGTAGAGCGGTCATCTACCAATTGGAAGGTCAGTGGTTTGATCCTTGGCCCTCGCAGTCCTTGGGCATACTGAGCCCTGGCTGTGCCATCAGCGTGTGAGTGCATGTGAACTTTTTGTCCAATTCCATTTCTTATTTTTACTCCTACCTCTTGTCAGAACAGAATTACAAGGGGTAGTGTTTGAAATCTTTTTTGAAATGGGACAGCCCTTCAAGACCCTGATACATCACCACTTTACTGGCATTTTCATGAACAGACGCCACAAGTGTTGCCAGATATTGCAAATATGCAGTTTTCTGCAGTATGGATTTCTTGTGTAGGGTAAATCATCCTTTTGCTGTGTCAGGACACTCACAATTTGTTCACACTATCAATCAATCAAGTCATCAAATAAAAAAGGAACACTGTGAGGTGTAGAGATGGGTACCGTTAAGATTTTAATGATACTACTACTCTTACCAATGCTGCTTATTGATCCGGTACTTTAACAGTACTCTTATTGTTTCTTTTTGGGGTTTTAAGAGAAAAAATGAACTGATTAAGAACAGAATTAATATTGTCTCATTTTCTATGTATGTAAGTACAGTATATAAATTAACATTCTGCAACAGCATTGTTTGGATTTCAATTTCAATTTATAAAGACCAATATCACAAATCACAATTTGCCTCAGAGAGCTTTACAGCATAAAGCACCTCTCTGTCCTTGGACCCTCACAGTGGATAAAGAAAAACTTCCCCCAAACAACCCTTTAATGGAGAAAAATGGTAGAAACCTCAGAAACTTGAATACATTACCAGACTATAACATAATCAAGGTGGATGGGGTAACGGGAGAGGAACTAGGAGCTAGGCTGTCGAAAAAGGTGCATCCCCTGCCTGTTTGTGAAGCACTATTGCTAGATGTTTTGAAAGATTGCTTGAGTTGTTGAACTTGTGGCAACAAGCAGCATCAACTCTTGTGAAGTATAATCATACTTCAGAGGGTTTTTGCTCTCTCCACCATTGTCACTGAGAGCAGGGCGTCTGTGTTTGTGTGACACAGAGTGGCAGAACCAGCCGCTCACACAGGCTGTGAGGCTCCAACACAGAGAGCTCTGCTCTGGACTGAATAGCAAAAATGTATCAGTGACGAATGTCTTGATCTTATTGCAAATTAGAAACAGAGCAGGTAAGATAAAAACTGTGCACAATAACGTTTATGTAACCTAAATGAACAAGAAATATATCTTCTGGATTTGTCCAATACTGATAGCAGAACCAATAACTTCAGAGCTTATCAATACTGCGGTCTTTCATAATTCGGCCCCTGGGCCCGTTAAATACCAGGTTTCGGTACCCATGCTTAGTGAGGTGAGTTATATAAAAATTCGCCCCCCTACAGTTGTAGGTAAATATGTTTATTTCTGCTGTACTGTTGGGCATGTTAACATGGTGGTCCATGGGGGTTGATTGGCTTCTGAAGCCAGCCTCAAGTGGCCGTTCAAAGAACTGCAGTTTTTGACACTTTGTGTTGCCTTCATTTTTCAGTCCCGGAAGTTGCCACTTGGTACAAATGTGTGTGATGGGTAATGGTGCTTGTTTTGTAAAGTGCTCTGAGTTTTCGCTATAAGACTAGAAAAGCACCATACCGTATATATGCAATAATATTCAGAATATAGTTTATCAGAAAAGTGAGAAGAAAAAAAAAATAAATTTGTGAAGCAGAATTTTTTTTTTTTTTTTTTTTTCAATCCTTCCCTGTTAATGATGTCACAACCCGTCACACTTAGCTGTTACAGGCTGGAAACCCGTGGTCCAGATAGTAAATCCATAACGTATGGTTCTCTTACAGAAAGCTGGACGCTTTCATTTATGACGCTGCTGTGCTGAACTACATGGCGGGTAGAGACGACGGCTGTAAGCTGGTTACCATCGGCAGCGGTTACATCTTTGCCACCACAGGTTACGGTATCGCCTTGCAGAAGGGATCCTACTGGAAACGCCTGGTTGATCTGGCCATACTGGGCATCATAGGAGATGGTGAGGCGCTCATGCGCATCCACATTCTGCTCCGTCTTAGTCACACTGCATTGAAGTTTAAGTTTTTCAGATGTTCCAGGCCTTTAGTGTTATTACAGTTGTGCCATTGCTCAGCTTTCCCTCCTTCCTCCCCCCCCCCCCCCCCCCCCCCCCCCGTCAGAAAGCTATCAGGGGCTAGTCTTAACACACCATTTCATCATCATTACTGTGTGTGCGTGCGTGTGTGTGTGTGTGCGCCCACTGTGTCCTGTTATGTTTACTCCTCCAGATTGTTCTGTATAATAAGCTGTGAGATGGTGCGAATGGAAGAAAGAGAATGAGCCAGACAGAAATCAAACTGCTGAAACCACTAAAGCGCTTCACTTCACACCCGGCCTTTTTATTCAGGGCAAACACCCGCGTGCGCATGCGACACACAAACACACTCAGTCTGATAATAATTCCTCCCATCTTTCCTTATCATTCCATCACTATCAATTCTTCTCCCTCCTCCTACAATCCTTTTTTCACTCCACCTCCTGTCTCCTTTCCATTACGGTCTATTTACCACTTCACTTCTCTCCCCTCCTCCCTTCTCCCTTCCATCTTCCCTCGTAATGATACGCCCTTTTTCCCACCATACCTCTACCAGCCGCCTGCGCTCTCTCTTTTTCTTTCTCCCTCCTTCTGTTCCTTTTCCTCTGTTCCTCACACCTACTTGCTGCCACTTTAAACTTTCACTTTAACCATTTTTCTACCTTTCAAACAGGTGAGATGGAGGAGCTGGAGGCCCAGTGGCTGACTGGGATCTGCCACAACGAGAAGAACGAGGTGATGTCCAGTCAGCTGGACATAGACAATATGGCGGGTGTCTTCTACATGTTGGCCACAGCCATGGGACTCAGTATCCTCACCTTCATCTCTGAACACCTTTTCTACTGGAGGTTGAGATACTGCTTCACCGGTGTCTGCAGTGGGAGGCCGGGTCTGCTCTTCACTATCAGCAGGGTGAGAGAAGGAAATGTTTCTTTTCCACAGCAGAAATTTTTGACAGCAGGTCCAGTTCCGGCCCTGAAAGCCAGATTTTTCCTCCTATGCCTCTGAGATTGTGCTCTCAAATGTTGCCGTTAGAATTTGCGGTGTTGATCGCCACTTACTGATCAAACACCATCCTCAAGAGTGCAGCAACTGATGCAGAGCATTGATTGGGACTGTTAGAAAGCACTGGTTGTTGCAATATCAATATCAGGACTCGAGATGGGAAATTTCTTGTAAAGTTATTGACGTTCAAACAGTAAAGCCGACTTTCAAGACTACACTTAAAGAGTATGAAATAAAGCGGGAGTGGGCTAAACACACAGAGAATAAGCAAGAGAAACAGCACTTAACTGTATTTGCAAATTGTTTCAATGCGGTCTCATACTGAAGCAGAAAAATAACAGGAAAAAAAAACTCACACATTATTGTGACTTTGAAGACAGCTGTCGAGCCTTTGTGGTGTTTAACAACATCAATTCAAACATCAGACAGTAAATTACAAAAACGATTACTCTGCTGTCTGTCTTGTTGTGTGCAAAAATTGCATCTCAAACAAAGCCGGCTAATTTGCCTAATCTTCATGGTTCCTCAGATGCGGTGAAAATGCAAACGGGGACTCACAAACAGGACTTTAAGTTGTGTGAATGCCTGAGATGTGTCTGAAACGTGATTGTTTCACTTAAGGGAAGTCACAAATCTGTGGACGTGTGTGGGCCCGTGTGTGTACTTGTGAATCATGTGGAAATCACACACAATAGTTACTGTTAATACATAGAAGGAGCCTGTGTGTGTGTGTGTGTGTGTGTGTGTGTGTGTGTGTGTGTGATAAAAGAGAAAAGAAGGGGATAGTGTGATTATAGAGTCCAGCTGAGGTAGAGATGAATTTACTGCTCCGCATGTGGACGGCATGGATAGAGGAATCAGACCGCTAAGAGGATGATCTGAACACACACTCATATAGACACACACATATACACAAAGCTCTTTCTGATCACTCTCTCACACACACACACACACACACACACACACACACACAAGTCTGTTCTAACAAAGTTAAAAATGGTAGCATATATGCAGGTGCAGCGAGGTGAGGGACGGACTTGACCATACACGGGCAGACACACGCACACAGACACACACACACACACACACACACACACACACTCACACACACCTACACAAACCTAAATATACTCACACAAAATGGGCACATCCAGACAGACCGTTCTTTCATTATTCATATGTCATGTCTCTGTGTTAGGCAGGGCTTTTATTCCAGACGAGCAGCATTTCACACATTAAATGTTTTACAAAAAGAGTGCGATGTCTGTCTGTGTCTGTGTGTCTGTGTGTGTGTGTCTCGGTGTGCGCATGCCGTCAGAGGAGCGATGCTGGAGGTTAAGTGGCTCCAGGAAGAACATCTCCTTGCACTCAAAGGCCCCCTCCAGTGACATCATCACCTAAATTTAATTTTCCAGGCGCCTCTGAAAGCAGTTCATCTAAAAAAGTGCCGATTATCTCTTCTTGCCACATTACAAAACAAAATGAGGTTAAGGTTTGCAGTAAATGCACCAGAGGAAAGGATGCAGAGGTCTCTCTTAATTTACCGTGCAAGGAAATTAATCTTGTGCATGTTTGAACTTTTTTCTTGTGAAGTCATTGGGTTGGGAATTAACTCTTCTATTATCTCTGTTATCTCCCTTCTCCCTGCCTCTCCTCTCTTCTCTTCTCGTCTCGTCTCCTCTCCTCTCCTCTCCTCTCCTCTCCTCCCCTTCGCTCTTCTCTTCTCCCCTCCCCTCTCAGGGTATATGGAGCTGTATCCATGGTGTTCATATAGATATGAAGAAAAAGAATCCTGAGCTAGACTTTAGTCCCCAAGCCAACATGCTGCATCTGCTCAAGTCTGCCAAGTCCATGGCTTTGTCTTCTCCCAAACGCAACACTGTTCTTCTGCAGCCCAGCATTCTCGATGTGATGACAGGAAAAGGTACTTTCACAGTGTTACACACAGTACACCTTACAGTCTTTATCTAAAGGAACAGTTCATCTCAACATCAAAAATACATATCTTTCCTCTTAAGTGTAGTGCTATCTAACAATCTAAATTGATTTGCTGTAAGATGCTAAGTGTTGGAGATATCAGCCATAGAGATGTCTGCCTTCTCTTGAATATAATAGAGCTAGATGGCACTCAGCTTGTGGTGCTCAAAGTGCAAAAAAATACATTAAAAAATTCAACAGCAGTGTCTCTTTCCAGAAATCATGACCCGGTTACTCAACATAACCCAAAGACCTTGTTGTGAGCAGTTTCATGTAGGGACTATGTTCTTTCTATTGAACTTCAAGCGTCAACCATATCACCATGCAGAAGAAAGCGGGCAACTACTCATGGACGAGAGGCTTGTGCTTGTGACAGTGCTAAAATTATGGCACCCTCCTTAGCTGAGCTGTAACATTAGCTACTCAGTCGTGCTGACTGAGCTAACACTAGATGCACACTTCCTTCTGCGTGGTGATACAGTTGGCGGGTGTAAAAAATAGTTCCTACATGAAACCACTCATAACAAGGTCTGTGGATTATCTTCAGTAACCAGGTCATGATTTCTATAAAGAGACACTGCTGTTGAGTTTTTCAAATGTCAAGCCGAGTGCCACCTAGTTCCATTATTCTGGAGAGAGGGCAAACTTCTCTACGGCTGATATCTCCAACACTCAGTAACTCACACCAAAATAATCTAGATGAATAAATCACACTACAGGTAAGAGGAGAAAATATATATATATATATTTTTTTTTTTTTTTTTTTGATTTCGGGGAGAACTGTCCCTTTAACACTATATTAATATAGTGTTCTATACTGTACTTATATTGTATACTTTAAATCTTAACAGAGCAGGTAAACAGGGCACCTGTGATGACATTGCTCACACGTACAGAGGTTACTTTGCCTTCTCTATACAGTCTACGTACGCAGATCTAAAGGTGACTCCTTTCACCTTGTTGTGGACTCAGACTGTAATCAAATTGACTGTCGTCTATAAGCTCGCCTCATGATTAGAAACACATTAGATGGCACACACAGTGTGCCAGGGCAGTAGATAATGTATCAGCTAACTGGCTGAGCATCCATCCAAACATCCATCTATTGTATCTGCTGTCTGAGGTGCATCTCTCCTTGTCTCCTAGGTAACTCACTCCATAGTCTGCCCCCGAAGGGTCCTGGTCTCTATAGCAACGCCGCCGGTCCGCACAGTTTCTTGTCATTGTCCGGGCGACACAAAAACCTCCTTAACAATGCTGCACCATTTCCCGTGCAACCAAAAGCCCCCCCTCTTCAGACCAGCCCCAACAAGCCCCAGCTGTCAATCACCAATGACAACGGCAAGACCCGCCTCGCCGGGCCGGCCCTCGCTGCTGTTCCTCAAGGCTCGAAACCTCGAGCCCTTTGGAAGAAAAGTGTGGAGACGTTGAAGACCCAGCCTTCTGTCGTATCACCAGGCCCCAGCCCCACCCCAGCATCTGGACCTGGACCTCCAACCATGAAGAGTCAGCGCTACCTGCCCGAAGAGCCGCCACACTCTGACATCTCAGAGTGCTCCAGCCGTCCACCATCACACAAAGATTCTGATTCCATGGCGGCGAGGGGCGGATTCAAGCCAATCAATCAGCTGAGGAAGAGGGGAGGGGGAGGAGGAGGTGGTGGTAGTGGAGGAGGAGGAGGAGGAGGAGGGGGAGGAGGGGGAGGAGGGGGAGGAGGAGGTGGCGGTGGAGGGTCCAAGATCTATTCCATTGACTCAGACCAGGCCAGTCTCCAGTCCGCTCCCCCCTACCAGCGAGACAGCCAGGGGGGAGGTGAGGACATCAACTACCCCCCTGACCTGTTTCCACCTAACAGCACATACTCACACACTCACACACTCTCGCACCAAGCGGACGCACCCATTTTGCAGCTGAGTGCCAGCTTGCTGCACCACAGTCACAGCGCAGAGGCCGACCTGCACTCTCTGAAGGACAAGAAATACAGCACCTACACACACAGCAGGTATCACGCCCAGCAGAAAATGAACACCGTGACTGTGTTTCAAGTGCTTTTATAGTTTTGTATTTTTTGTGTGTGTGTGTGTATAATCAGTGTCATCCTCTCTCCCTGCAGTGTGAAGGACAAAGCTGGAGGATCGTTCGATGCTCCAGGTGCAGGACAGGGGACACAAAGCGCCAGGGCCAGCCACTGTCGCTCCTGCCTGACTAAGCTGAGTGGTTACTCTGGCCTTTACACTGTCCGGACGCCACAGGCTCGCTGTGATGCCTGCGCCCACCTGGGAAACCTGTACGACATCAGCGAAGACCACCTGCACTCCCACTACGCCCACACACACACTCATCCACACAGCGGGGACATGTTTACACACTACCTTCCCCAGAGCGAGCTGGGCATGGTGGGCGAAGGGGACGGGCTAGTCAGCCACTTCGAGCCCTCCCCTTCCTCTCCATCTCCTCTCCCCACCCCCTCGTCGGCCCAGCACCTTCAGCTGAGTCGTCAGCACTCCTACGAGAACGTGCTTCCGGACGGCGTTCCTGAGCGGCAGACACAGCTGCACGCCCACCTGCGGGGGCTGAGTCTGCCAGACAGAGATAGGGATAGGGAGCTGACCCTGGACGAGGGCGCCTATGCTAATGTTCTCACAATGCGCTCTGATCGTCCATTCAGCAGCCGCAGCCCCCCCTCTCCGTCACCCTCCCACCACCACAGTCTGGACGCCCCTATGCCCCTCCCCCGGCGCTCGAAGAGTCTCTTCCCCGATCGCCCGTCTCACAATCCTTTCCTCCAATCAGCTCCTGGCACGGCACAACGAGATCCCTCCCCTCAGTCTGTCACACGCATGCCACAGAGAAGTTCTGCCCACGAGCTCTATAAGCAGCGAATGCCGCTGTCGCTTACCCTCGGTAACCATGGCAGCCATCACAACAACCAGCATGGCGGCCTTGTCGACCAACAGGTGTTCTACCCTCAGCAGGAGCCCCCTGTGGTGGCCTACATGGTCCCACCTGCCGCCTCTCAGCCAATGAGCTATGTGACAGCGCCGCGAGCCTCGAGCGCAGGCGGCAACAGGCCCCGGCTCTACCGCCGCATGCCCAGTATCGAGTCTGACGTCTGAGAGTCACACGCAACACACTTACTCTCACTGAAACACACTAACACACACGCATGCAAGACAGAGGTGTGTGTGACTGGACCAGGCAGCTCTGATTCTAAGCACATACACAGGAACACACAGACACACACGCACAGGTGAAAGACGGGAAGGTCTGCTCTGGACTCAAAGGTTAATGGCGATGCCGAGTAAATAAATCATTGTTTCTTTATCACACCCTCTATAGGGCAGGGTTGGGGCCACAGGGACACCTGGAGGCACAATACGAGATGAAGAGTGTGTGTGAGTGTCAGTGTGTGTACTAGCCTCAAGCTGTGGGCAACGAGGCACAAACTGACAATACGTCTGACAAGACAGATCGAATCCCTGGTGGAATATGAGGGACACTGTACACGGAGTCTAACGCCAACAGTGGGATCTGACAGAGGATAGATTTAACCGTGTGTTTGGAAGATGAGCCGACTTGTCCCGCCCTCTCACCAGCTTCTTGGAGACGAAGGGGACACACAGAAAAACCCCTTTCTTTCTGAGATTACACACACACACACTTACACACACATAATTTTGCTTAACAAACCCGCCCCTCTCCAGGACTCTCCTGTTGCACTATGATTTCTACAGTCAACCCGTATGTTGTCTGAGCCTCCAAACTGCACTGCCAGCATGGCTTAAAGAGTAGTAAACTACACTAGAGTAATCTTGACTTGAATGGAAATTACTATCTTTGTAATAGACTAGACTGGAAGGCGGGCAGCTGGTCAGGACACAGGTCTGAGACGTGTATCAGCTCCTGCCCGCAGATGTACAAACACTTGAACACACACATGCACACTGTGTCTGTATTTAGGGGTGGGAGAGTAAAAACTACCGACTGTTTGTTATTGTTGATGTCAGTTAATTGAACATTCCAAAAAGTGGACCAAACGTGGCCGCCTATCAGGACGAGAGTGTGTGTTCTAGTGTTTCTAGATCTAGAGACAAACAGTATAGCATCCTTGCTTCCTCTCTTAGCTAGCCTTCAGGTCATACTGCATGCTTCCTACTGCCCTGTGTTACAGTTAAACTCCTATACAGGGTCATATATGCACACACACGCAGACACATATATGCACATACACACACACACACGCACATACGCAGTAGTCTAGGATAGTAGTTTAGGGTGGGTGTGTGTGTCGAAGCTATGAGATAGCTTCTCTTTGTGCACTTTGTAGATTTTATACCCTGCCACCTAACACAAGACGTTTGACCAAAAACACTTTTATACTGAAAAATATGAATATTCTCAATCATTCGCTGGATAGATGTCTTCTTTTCTCTTATTTCTCTTTGACATTGGGTTTTAGGGCACCGTTAAGTTTCCATTGTGAGGTCAGAAGTTTTATCAGTGTTAGATAATGGGTACAGCATCATACAGTATACACAACAACAACTCTTAATCTTTCTCTTCTTATTTTTTTAAAACTTTTACTGTGCTCATCCCTCCTTCTAGCCTCCCCCCTCTTCCTTCATCTGCTTTGGTTTATTCTCTTAATTACTCCTTTGTCTTTTTGCTGCCTTCCCTGCTTCCTATTATTATAGAGTAGATTGAGTATCAGAAGAATAAAGTTCAGTCGTGGTGTTTAAAACTCAACATATTGCTGGAGATCACTTTATATCAGTAGTCGTAAGAATTCCTCAAATTCAACACAGGCTCTCGTAGGATACAGTGCTCTTTTTTTTTCCTAATAGGTTTTTATGTTGAACAAAAGATCTCGAGGCCCGTTTTTTAATGTTTCCGTAGTGAATTTAGAGGCTGAGTGCATCACTGTTGCAGATTTACTCATCAAATTAATACTCCTGGACGAGCGTCAGAGCGGCTGGTACTTGTGTGGCTCTCTCTTGGCGAGAACACAGCGCAGTGTTTCAGCAGAGAGAGTCACGTGGCAAAGCAGAGAGTTTGCAAAGTGACTCGTTACAGAGGCAACACTCACACACACACAAACACACACACACACACACACACACACACACACATACTCGACGAGCTGGCAATGTGTGTATGAGTGTTCTAGAAATCCATAATCTACTGAGTAAGGGCATTGATTTTTGAGCACAAGGATTTTGATGGAAAAAAGACTTGATATCCCATTAGCTGAACGTCTGTCTCTATTCTCTTTCTTTCTCTTCTCTTCTCTCTCTCTCTCTCTCTCTCTCACACACACACACACACACACACATATATCTATATATATTGGCTGCAAAGAATGCAAGAAAGTCTGAACAAAAAACACACCTTTTGAATGGTGAGCGCTGCCCCATTTTTGGTAATCTTAACAGGTTTGGTGTGTGAGTTATATGCACAATATCAGGTTGCAATATTATACTTCTGTACAGAGAAATCTTTGTTTTAAATGTTAGAAACTGATTTCATTTGTTTGATTTGAATGGTATTAAGTGTTGAATTCATTTCAATAACAATGTGGCTTTTAATTCTGCTTCTTTAAGAAAAAAAAAAAGACTGGCATGTTTTTAGATTCTTGTGTGATTTATTTTTTTCTCCTCTGGTGTGTTGTTGGTTGGGACCTCACTGTACAGTCCTCACTGCTGGGTTGACTATCGCGGGAAGCTAACCAGTTAACTAGCAACACGTAGCTGGGTCTCTCATCTGAATCACACTCAATGAATAATGATAGTCCAGCCTGTGTGGTTAATACGAACCCTCTCCCACCCACATAGTTCTCTTCCACTACGAGTCTGTGCTGTTTCACCTCTCAGTGTGTGTGTGTGTGTGTGTGTGTGTGTGTTTTAAACAGTGCAGGCATTTATATAAGACAGAGGATTACATGTGTGTCAAGAGGTTGTTTGTGGTGTGTGTGTGTGTGTGTGTGTGTGTGTGTGTACTTTTCTGTACTCTCTTCGGTTCGTCCCACACATCACATTTGACCCGGCTCTTACTCATATAACACAAATACAGTTTCACACACACAGGCAAACACACACACACACATGCACACACACATGTTGCGTCTGTACTGTTGTGGTGAAGAGAGCATGTAGAATGAGTTTTGTACGTCCACCATCACACAGATTTTTACACCAACCTTTTGTTTGATTTTTTTTGATTTTTTAAATTGCATGACGTGCTTGTGTTTCTGGTGGTACCTATTTTGCTGCAACACCTGAGTTCTCCCTGAGTTGACCGACCGAGGCTACACATACCAACGTTCCCCTCCACCCTGGTTAGTGCGCCACATCTGACTGGAGCCCTGGACAGTTAAGCACTCCGACTTCCGGTACGCGATGTCACTAATATGGCACCCAGCTGGCTACTGCACAATGCCAGCTGAGCCAGTCGAGGAACATGTGGGAAATGTTCCCAGGGTCAGCACAGGTCTTAGTTTGGTCCGGGTGTACACATATTAAATACAGTACTGGGTGGAAGGAGTACGTTGGTGTGTAGTCCTCCGGGTCTCCCTGCCGTGTATCTCACTTGTGTATAAGTTCAGGGGTTTCTAAGCTACTAGTTGTGTTGTAAATACTACCTTGTCACTCAGTACCTCTGTACAATCTGTAAATAAGTAAAGGTTACATTTTTCTACTTGTCTGGGTCTTGTTGATTAACCTTTTTATCTATGTATGTATGTATCTGTCTACTGTGTAACTAAACTGTTAACGGTCAACAAAACTTAATGCTATACATCAGTAATAAGCCATTGAACGATGGACTATGATGCTTATACAGGGAGATCTTATCTTAGTTTGTCATACAAACCACAAATTGCATTTTTTACACTTTACAAATTCAAGGAGCTGCACACGACTCAACATTGAGGTGGCCAAGCCAGCCAGGCCAACAGGAAGTGTGCCAGGCTTTGAAGCCAATTTTCATCGTGGCCAAACAGTGGTACTGCAGTGTTCAGGGTCTGTCTCATGATGCCTTTGGGCCCAAAAACATTGGGAACGAAACGTCTGTACATCAGTGGACACATTTTTTGAATGTCACAACAGGTGTAAAATGTCTTGTTTTAATATCAGGATTTAATTCACTTGGTCTGATAACATTTGGGAAATAATTTTACCCCATTCAAGTTAGAGGAGCGCAAGATCGGAAGTATTGGAATCAGCCCAGACAGCGGGAATCTCCTGTGCACTTGCTCTATGGGCCCAGTGATGCAGAAGCAGCGCCGGTCATCCATATAATTTTATACCACAGAAATAGAGCTTTTTTTGGCTTCATGGACCACTGAGCAACTTTCATGGGAATGAACGGGTTCCCGAATTCAATGCCAGGGGGCTCATTCATTAAACAATGTGTAGGATCTGTACTAAAAATGTATGTATGGACAAAAGCCAAAAATGGTGTGTATCAAAACATATTCAACAGTTTCTACAATCAGACTTCCACCTCACCATCTGCATCGCCAATTCCCCATTTACAAGATGTTCGTAAGCATGGGTCAAAGGTCCTCCCATTAAGTGTGTTTTTATAGATCACAACTTTTGTGCGGAAAGTGACGTACGCCTCTTTCAGGCCTCGTTTTGTGCGCATGCAATGTTTATAAATAAGACCCCAGGTCTCTTAAGACATCCATGGTGCCAGCGGCTAGCAGCTAACAATGCTGACACAGCTAGCTGACAGTACCTTGCTTTGAATTTTTTTCATCCTCTTTTTATTATGATTTTTTTTATCCATTGAGGTTTAATAATTGTGAAACTTGCCCCAAGCCTAGCAAAGCAATTTAAAGATCCATGACATCATCACAATGTAAAGTCTATGGAGCCAGCAGGAGAAACATTACAACGCATATTCAGTGGGCCACATACCTCAAATGTTGACCCAGAAGTTAGAGGGTTAGGATTAGCATATATGTGAGGCGAGCAGTTCCACTGGACTGCACAGGCGCCATCATGGCATCTGGGATCTAGTTTTTATTATACATCTATGGTGTGAACTGGGGGGGAACCAGAGGTGGGCGCTACACTTCCTCGATGACATCGTCCTGATATCAGCAGTAGGCTAACAGCTGGGGGATACACTCTGCTCAGGAAGCCATCACTCCACTATATCTTTGCATAGCAAATATTGTTTTGTTGCTATATTAATGTTCTGAATATCAGATAGAGCTCCTTTAAACAAACAACATATAACTTGATAATTGAGCTCTGGAGGTGCTGTTGGGTCGATTTTGTCGTCCTTGGACAGAGCCATGCTACGTGTTTCTGTTTCCAGTCTTTATGCTAAGCTAAGCTAGCCAGCTGTTAGCTGTAGCTTCATATTATTTGGTATCGATCTTTTCATCTAACTCTCTGCATGAAGGCAGTGTATTTACCAAAAATGTTGAACTATTCCTTTAATGACCATTTGCTCCCGCAGACCTGAAGGCTCATTAGATAGTTAGTACACTGTGGGTTTCTCACCTTCTGATAAGTTGTTAAGGATGCTCCGCAACTCTTTTTAAAAACTGGTTAACCTGTCAAAACTGTAATTAAAGATGATTAATTTCTAAAAAGATCAAGCAAGTTACGTAGGAGGATACACACCAGACCGTGACTCAAGATTATTTGGTCAGACGACTTCTTCTAAGGTCCAAGGAAATTAACTTTCAACTTTTGGGTTGCCTTAATTAATGATGGCATGACTATAAACTTAATGGCTCATTAGAAAGTTTGTATGTCAGAGGTTCCTCACTTTCTAATAAGCCATCATGTCTGCAGTTAATAAAGTGTGGTAATAAGTTGTTAATGAATACATTTTGGTCTGATTTTAGGGACGCTGATGTGGGTCTGTTGGTCGGTCCACTGCTTTGGTCCGCAGAGAATTATCTGAAAATCTATTTGATATGATAGCATGAAATTTTACACACATTCATGGGGACATTCATGTTCCTCAGAGGATAAATCCAAATGATTGGTGATTTCCTAACTTTTCTTATAATGGCGTCATCATCATCAAAATTTCAATTTGTCCGATGCTTTATGACAGTGACATTGTCCCCAGCCTCAAACGTACTCTGTGTTTAGTGCTTATTGGCAAATGCTAGCATGCTAACAAAGCTACTAAACTAAGCTGGTGAACCATGTAAACATTGTACCTGCTAAATACAGTACAGGCCAAAAGTTTGGAGACACCTTCTCATTCAATGCGTTTTCTTTATTTTCATGACTATTTACATTGTAGATTCTCACTGAAGGCATCAAAACTATGAATGAACACATGTGGAGTTATGTACTTAACAAAAAAAGGTAAAATAACTGAAAACATGTTTTATATTCTAGTTTCTTCAAAATAGCCACCCTTTGCTCTGATTACTGCTTTGCACACTCTTGGCATTCTCTCGATGAGCTTCAAGAGGTAGTCACCTGAAATGGTTTCCACTTCACAGGTGTGTCTTATCAGGGTTAATTAGTGGAATCTCTTGCTTTATCAATGGGGTTGGGACCATCAGTTGTGTTGTGCAGAAGTCAGGTTAATACACAGCCGACAGCCCTATTGGACAACTGTTAAAATTCATATTATGGCAAGAACCAATAAGCTAACTAAAGAAAAACGAGTGGCCATCATTACTTTAAGAAATGAAGGTCAGTCAGTCCGGAAAATTGCAAAAACTTTAAATGTGTCCCCAAGTGGAGTCGCAAAAACCATCAAGCGCTACAACGAAACTGGCACACATGAGGACCGACCCAGGAAAGGAAGACCAAGAGTCACCTCTGCTTCTGAGGATAAGTTCATCCAAGTCACCAGCCTCAGAAATGGCAAGTTAACAGCAGCTCAGATCAGAAACCAGATGAATGCCACACAGAGTTCTAGCAGCAGACCCATCTCTAGAACAACTGTTAAGAGGAGACTGCGCGAATCAGGCCTTCATGGTCAAATAGCTGCTAGGAAACCACTGCTAAGGAGAGGCAACAAGCAGAAGAGATTTGTTTGGGCCAAGAAACACAAGGAATGGACATTAGACCAGTGGAAATCTGTGCTTTGGTCTGATGAGTCCAAATTTGAGATCTTTGGTTCCAACCGCCGTGTCTTTGTGAGACGCAGAAAAGGTGAACGGATGGATTCCACATGCCTGGTTCCCACTGTGAAGCATGGAGGAGGAGGTGTGATGGTGTGGGGGTGTTTTGCTGGTGACACTGTTGGGGATTTATTCAAAATTGAAGGCACACTGAACCAGCATGGCTACCACAGCATCCTGCAGCGACATGCCATCCCATCCGGTTTGCGTTTAGTTGGATCATTTATTTTTCAACAGGACAATGACCCCAAACACACCTCCAGGCTGTGTAAGGGCTATCTGACCAAGAAGGAGAGTGATGGAGTGCTGCGGCAGATGACCTGGCCTCCACAGTCACCGGACCTGAACCCAATCGAGATGGTTTGGGGTGAGCTGGACCGCAGAGTGAAGGCAAAGGGGCCAACAAGTGCTAAACACCTCTGGGAACTCCTTCAAGACTGTTGGAAAACCATTTCAGGTGACTACCTCTTGAAGCTCATCGAGAGAATGCCAAGAGTGTGCAAAGCAGTAATCAGAGCAAAGGGTGGCTATTTTGAAGAAACTAGAATATAAAACATGTTTTCAGTTATTTCACCTTTTTTTGTTAAGTACATAACTCCACATGTGTTCATTCATAGTTTTGATGCCTTCAGTGAGAATCTACAATGTAAATAGTCATGAAAATAAAGAAAACGCATTGAATGAGAAGGTGTGTCCAAACTTTTGGCCTGTACTGTATGTTACACTAAAAAGACACCAAGCAGCAGCGAAGTGCGGCTTGCTGTGGCTGGGAGGCATGCTCATGTGTTTCAGGCGAGCCCCGTCTCATACCGGAGTCGATGAAAGTTAAGGCGGGCGAAAGTCAGAGTGGGACGGGTGGGAGGGGTGGTGGATGGGTCCAACAAACACCGACCTCCACCCGAGATAGCGTCCAGAAAGATTCCAATGACAAACCCTGTTCTTTTTTCCCAAACCTAACCACTTGCTTGTGTTGCCTAAACCTAACCATGTGACTTGCGGTGATGTACCAACGTAGTGCGTTTATTTTGAAAGAGACTGTATGTAAACAATAAATTTCCTGTGAAAAGTGAAGTGCATTTTGAAAGAAGACAACGCATGTAACATACATAATGTTTGTGCATGTTTTCTAAAAGCTTATAGATGAGAACAAAATGGAGCAGTACCATCTGAGATTGTGGGGGTGGTGTAATGTAGTTCAAGCAAGATACAACCGTAGGAGACGACAAAGAAATTTTAAAAATGACCAACTGGAAAGACTTTTTAATGTAGTGATGATAATTCTCTGTCCTGTTGCGACATCTATCTATCTATCTATCTATCTATCTGTGCAGTCTGCTAACTACTAAAAGGGCTTTTTGGGATTCTGCTGCAAGAGGGCTCTCTCTGCCCCACTCTCCGAAGACTTTCATAATGCACCCTTAGCACGAGTGTGTGAGTGCATGCGCGTGTGTGCGTGTGCAATATGTGTATTTACGTGTATGTGTGTGTGTTTAGATCAGTGTTCTGGTAAAAAGCTTTATTTTTATATTTTTGTCTCCCTCAGGAGACGGACGCTCTAATCTGGGCTGAAGTGGGACAGGAGAGGGGAGCA